GGTCTGCGTAATCTATGTGGTAGCAGGGCTCACTAGAGACCAGCTTTATAAAAGTCGCAGCGTTTTGCTAATCTTTTCCTAGCAAATCTCGTCCACACGGTTAGAAACTTGGTTTTACATTATGCCCCATGCTCAGCGTCTTCCAGCAGCAAAGAAAAACTGTGCGCTGATTTAATAGTCTAGAAAGAACAATAACATCTCGGCAGTTTAGTGGTGAGTACTCGCTCGTGTCGCATGCGAGATCTGGGTTCTACTCTCGGCGGGACTTTTTCTTCAGCGTTGGAGAAGAGGTAGTTTAAAAAGAAGGAGCCATTTGCAATAGTGTACCGAAGTGTGACGGTTGTACCTGTCAGCTCCTCTAATGAAAGATTTTTCAATTATTTGCTGTGGCATATTCGAAAAAGTTTACAAAGCCGACCATGACAATTTTAGAGGCGTTGTTTTGAATCTTTTTTTTCTTTGCTGTACGAACGATCTTGTTGTTAAAAACAAGTTTTCTTTACAAGTTTAGGAGCTACAAGTTTTGGCTAATTGACCAAATAAGTTATTATTCCAATCACGGTGCTTTCTTGTCTACACCGTGTAAGACAACAATGACCGAGTGTATTAGTGAAAATGCATTTGCGATCAGTTAGTAATGAAACCCTGAGAGTAGATGAGTTTTGAGACGGAAATTTGCTTGTTCACTGCGAAAAACCACCAAACGGTGCTCAGTGTTTCGTTTTTTGTGAAGCTCAATGAACAGTTCTAGTTCACAGGCGAAGAATGTCGCTGGTTGCAGCTTGGCAATGCCTTGCGTCTTGGGTATTTGATGGCTTTAGTTTGTATTGCTTAATTGCATGTTGTCAATTTGTCACCGGAGATAGATTTGTAAGCACGCGTTTTTGATCGACGGCTATAGTTTGACTTAGTGGGGCAAGACTTATTCTCTATCCTAACTCTCTTAATCTTCTGTTCCACTGTTGTTTTTTAAAGACTATGAAGGCTTAAATGTGAAACTTTTTAGCCGAAAATAGAACCTGGATCGCGCACGCGACCGGCGCGGACATTTACACATTTTTGAGGAGATGCTAATGCTTTTTTCCGACTGTTGAATCAACGCGGAGTTTTTCTTTGCTGCTGCTGAACGCTGAGCAAGGAGCATGATTAAAAACGAGTTTTTGGTGGAGTGAGCAAGACTTGGAAACAGTATTTACCGCATTAGCTTTTAGACCACCAATAATCATGAAGCGTAATTTGCAGCGGTTTTTTGCATTAGTGCACTTGTCTTTGTCAATCGTTCGTAAAGGCAAGATATAGACCGCGTAGTAGTTAATGCCATAAATACGGCTGCCTTCTCCAAGCTTAGGCTTAAAGTTAGCCTTGACCCTAACCTTATGCTTGAATAATCGTTTAAGGTCTTAAAGAACGGAGGGATAGAGAAAGAAATTAGGAAGAAGGCCAGACTTTAGTCTAAAATAGATACCAATGTGCGTTAAGGAAAAAAGCCGGCAAAAATCTCATTTAAGAAACATAAGAATAAGAGCATGAAAAGCATCAGTCAGCCAAAAATTTACTCTCGCTGTTTTTTTGTTTTTTATTTCTTCTTTTTCTCCAGCTCTGACTTATAGTAGATTTGGATATAACTGGTATTAGCTGGAATTTACGTGTCTTTTTAAACGTTTCTGAGAGTTGTCGCTGGTGAGTGTACTGCTGCGGACGGATGAAGCCTTAAGTGATACTTTTCAGATGTCAGCGTTGTTGGAGCTTAGATCTGCGTGCTTCAATAAAGGGCCGGGACGATCTAGAATTGACTCATCAATTCACTGCAAGATAGGGTCAGAAAAGTGGTTTTTTTCAACCACAGCGTATCTTCCAAATTTGAGCTGACTGGCACAGAAGTGGTAATATGAAAAGTAGCATTTGACAAAAAAATTGGTCAGCGTTTCATAAAGACAAGCGTTCACCTGAGATTGCAAGAAGGATTTTTCAAAAAGACCGTTTCTGTTTTTCTCAAACAGTGCTAAAAAGTTTTGATTGGTACTTGTTCTTCGCATTTCACGCTTCAAGAAATTTTTTGGTGCAATGGCAAGGTAGCAAAATATGTGCCAAAACTTTTTTTGACGGCATGATATGAGCGCGTGGTAGCAGGGTTAACCAGCCACCAGTTTGATAAAAGGCAGAGCGTGGCATTACTTTTTTTTCAACAAATCTTTCTCACTTCACTTTTTTGTGTCGTCTACTTAGCTACTGACTTATATCAGACAAAAAATGATTAATATAAAGCCAAAGTGACGAACAGGGAACAATGATTTATAGCATCTGTTCTAGAAAACTTCCAGAGCACTATAAGCAGAGTAGTATAACTACATAGTACAACACCTCCTCTCACAGAGGAAAATAAGTATTATTAAGTGCACCTTCAAATTGTAGTCCCTGAACCAGTCAATAGTGCGAGTACCCATTGTTTGGATAAGTGGTCTCACTGATTTGACGAGGCACTTAACTGTGCTGTATGTAATTTTTATTACAATACGAAACTGTAATTAACAGGAGTATTAGCTATTAAAAATCGCTAGACTGGAAAGACCTATAAAGTTCTGCTCAAGGATCAATTTGAAGTGTCATGGGTGGCTTCGTTCACCTAATCAATCGGCGAAGTGAAACTTCAAAATTAAGTTGCCGCTCAGAGATTCCATATCTATAAGCTGTAGTTCTAAAACAACGGTGTTTATCCGATGACAACTTACATGACTTATTTACTACAGTCTGTTCCCGTATACCAAGGCACTGTTCATTGTTTGTATCAGTGCGTCGTCTTAACTGATTACGTGTCGCACTACCTGCAACTGCAGTCCTGGAATAAAAACAGTACACAATACCTTTCCCTTTCTACTAACAACAGTAGCTTGCTCCCACTTCCGTTGGTCGTTCGAACGTATATTGAATCATCGACGCAAAATCGCCTATTGACGGCTCTATGATGTCGGTTAAACTGAAACTTCGTTTTGTCGTTCTTTAAATCTGCCATTTCCTGGCTGCGATTTGAGTGAAATTGGGGGAGTAACAAATTCATCGTTGAGCGAAGTTTACGGCCTTGAAGTGACATGGCTAGAGAGTCGTTAGTCGTCAAATGTATTGTATTACGATAATGAAACAAAAACTTAGCAATGCTTTCTTTTTCTAAACTTGAACATCCTTTCAGAAGCATTCTCTTGAACGTGTCGGCGAAGCGTTCTGCTAACCCATTGCTTTGAGAATGGTAGGAAGGTGAGAACATGTGCTTATTACCTTTTTGAATACAGAATGTATTGAATTTAGATGACTGAAATGGCGGTCCATTATCTGTCATTAAAGACTCCGGAATCCCAAATCGAGCAAAAACGTCATTTAACGATTCTCTGATTGATTTAGCATTTATGGAATTCAAGCAAAATACTTCTGGTTATTTCGACATTGAATCTACCAGGATTAAATAGTATTTGCCTTTAATTGGTCCCGAGAAGTCAGTGCGTAAACATGTCTATGATTTTTCATTTCTTTTTAACGGTACAGTGGAGTCTTTTGAGGCATCTTTTGAGTGCTGTTGCAAGAATCACAGTTTCCCACGCAGTTCTCGTTATTCTTATCCATCTTGGGCTAGTAACAGTACTGTCGGGCCTCTGATTTTATTTTCTGAATTCCAGGATGGCGAGAATGCAAAATTTCCACTACTCGCTTACGTGGTTGAGGTGAGATAATAATACCCAAATTTCAGAAAATTAAACCATTAATTACTGGAAGTTCAGCGCGTTTTTAATAATAAGGAAGAATTTCAGCAACATTCAATTAATTTGGCCACCCTCTTTTTATGTCTTTCTTCATAAACTCCAAGTTTTTGTCTTCTGATGTAGCATTCGCGACGTCCGCCAATGAACTAGGTAATGATTTGAAAGACTCAACGTACACCTCGTTAACCTGGTGTTCCTCAGGAATTTGTGATTTTTCAAAAACGTCATCGAATCCTTTTGGTAATCTTGAAAGAGCATCCACATACCCAAATTGTTTTAAGGGGCAGTATTGAATAAGGCATGTCTAATTCATAAAAAATAAAGCCCATCGCTGTAATCGGCTCGCCGCTAGCAAAGGAACGCCTTCCTTAGAGCCAAAAATCGTCGTTAGGGGTTGATAATCCGTAAGCAATGTGAAGTCCCTTCCCCATAAATACTGATGAAATTTTTTTACTCAAAAAAACTATACTCAGGGCATCTCTCTTTATTTGTGAGTAATTACGTTCGGCCGGCGTGAGAGATTTTGACGCGTTCGCAATTACTTTTTCGGTTCCGTTTGCAAAGCAGTGAAATAAGACGACACCTATTTTAACACTAGAAGCATATGACGCAAGAAAAAGAGGCTCATCTGGTTGGAAACGTGTTAGGGGAAGAGGAGACATCAGCATGCGTTTTATACGTTGGAAAAATTTTTGACACTTGTCAGGTCACACAAACGGTACATTTCCCTGCAGCAACCTTTCCAAGAAAGCTTGAAAATTATACAACTGGAGGATAAATTTTGCATAATGGTTTACAAATCCAAGACACGCACGAATAGAAGAGACATCTGATGGCATTAGCGTGTACTGGATAGCTGTAATTTTTTCTGGGTCTGGTCTAGCGCTCTCGGAGTT